AGAAACCAGAGAACCCTGAAGAGGGACAGGCTGGGTATCCAGCCTCAGTGAGAGATGGAGAGGCATGGGGGCTCTCAGAGTGCAGTCCCTGCATCAGTGGCTCATGCACGTTCTCTGTTCTTGTCCTTTCATAGCATCTTAGTTCAGAAGCAACAAGTTGGCTCAGAGCCTCATAGAGTCTAAGGAGTCCCACATTTTGCCCCGACTGGTGTGGATTCAGACTTCTTCTCAGTGGACTGAGAGCTGGTCTTTGAACCAAAAGGTCTCTGGTTCAATTCCCAGTTAGGGCACATGCCTGGGTTGCAGGTCAGGTCCCAAGTTGTGGGTATACCTTTCACACATTGTTTCTCTCCCTCCATTCCCCTCTCTCTAAAAGTAAATAAATAAAACCTTAAATAAAAATAAAAAGTTTCACATTTTCACATCAGCAGTGATCAGTAACACCAAGATTTAGGCTTCTTCACATGTTTTTATTTATTCTTTCACTATTCATTCAAAAATATTTATTGAGCCCTGGCAGGTGTGGCTCAGTGGGTTGAGTGATGGCCTGTGAATGAAAGGGTTGCAGGTTCGATTCCCAGTCAGGGCACATGCCTGTGTTGCAGGCCAGGTCCCCAGTTAGAGGGCCACATGAGAGGCAACCACACATTGATGCTTCTCTCTCTTCATCAAGTAACCCATGTCTCAACAGTGATCAACAGACCTTTTATTTTTTATTAAAACTCATTCTTTTTTTAAGCATTTTTTAATTGTTGTTCAAGTACAGTTTTCTGCCTTTTCCCCCCAAATTAAAACTCATCCTTGCAGTGTTCTACATATTGATCGTGGTGTTGATTACACAGGCGTATAATCTGTCAAAACACATTATTTGTATGGTGACAATGACTATATTTTTTGTATGTCAGTTATACACCAATAAGTTGAAATCGATTTTTAAAAAAGTACCGTATTTTGTCTTATATAATGCATGCTTTTTTGCCCAAATTTTTGAGGGAAAAATAAGGATGTACATTATACATGGGTAGTACTAAATTCTGTACCTATATAAATGTTTTAAATTATTTTATTTATGCTCATGTGTTAAAAGTGTAACTGTAGAAAGCAATAATGAGATCTGCATGCAAAATAATACTCTGAAATAGGGTAGTCAGTTTTATATATAAATAAAAAATTGACTTGTTCTGGCTGTTGTAGCTCAGTGGATTGAGCCCAGGCCTACAAACCAAAGGGTGGCCAGCTTGAATACCAGTCAGGGAACATGCCTGGGTTGTGGGCCAGGTACCCAGTGGGGGAGTGCATGGGAGGCAACCACACATTGATGTTTCTCTCCCTCTCTTTCTCCTTCCCTTCCCCTCTCTCTAAGAATAAACACATAAAATCTTTTAAAAAACTGCTATTCATTAAAAAAATAAAAAATAAATAATGGACCTAGAAAGTTAAAATGAAAGATTGTTTTCCTGAAAGTTTGGGCTAAAATCTTGGGCACACATTACACACAAGAGGGTACTATACACAGCAATATATAGTATCTTTAGCCAAGGTCAAAAACTTAATATATGGGTCCCTCAGAATTCCTAAAAAAAACCCCACGAATGTCAAACAGAGATATTGCTGACGTCAGCCACATCTGTTCTGTCCCTTCACCCTCTGACTGGTGATGTGGGCCTGTGTGACCCATGGCCGGAAGCAGACAGATGTTCCCATGGAGGATGGGTTTTCCCGTGACACAAGCAGTAATATTATAACATCAGGACTTTGGGGCAAAAGAGGATACAGTAAAAGGAGGGGCTGCACCCATCTAGATCTGGTGGTCAGAGCAAAGACCTGCATGACGAAGGGAACAAGACATGCCAATCTCTTAGGAAGACCAGAGAAAGGTTTCAGTAGGTCAGTGGGTGAGTGGAGAGTGGATAGATGTTGGGGGTGTTCTCATCGGTACCCACAGAATATTAATTTATGTGGGTCACTGAGTAACTGCAGAGGGGCTAATGCCATTGAAGAGTTTTTATTATTTTTGTTCTCAAAAGGAGGGAGGATTGTCATGCAGGGCCACTGGGGAGGTGCCAGAAGGAAAAGCGAGCAGAACAAGGGAGAGGGGAGTAGCTTCCAAGGGGACTCTTCCCTTGGAATTTCCACAGGAAGTCAAGGCAGGGCAGGGTGGACCACTTGGGGTCAGCTATATTGAATAATTACAGAGGCTCTGCGGTATAGGGCCTGCACCTAGCTCTAGATGCCTTAGGGCAGGAAAGAAGGACTTGGTGTGTGTCAGATACAAGATGTGTCCATTCTAGGCTCAAGATGAGTTGGTTTGCATATGAAAGGAGTGTTTTAGGTAAGCTGTTTTTTTTATCTTTAGGAATTAGCTGAGGGGGAGCACTATCTCCAAGGGTCTGTAAGCTCCACCACCTCCCTACTGAGAGTTGTCAAAACATCATCAGATACAGAAAATAAAAAGCATAAATAATACAGCTGGGCGGATGGACAAGCAGTTTGGGTGGTTAAGTGGATGGTGGATGAATTCAAACACTGGCTATGTCAATTTCCATCCCGAAAATGAGAAGAAAAATTTTCTAAGTATAAGTAGAAATGAAGTCTGTGACACACCTCTCCCATCCACAGTGTGCCTCCTCAAAGCACAATCATTCATTCATTCATTCATTCATTCATTCACAAACATTTATTAGGTTCTTGCTGTATGACAGACCACAATGATTAGAGAGCAAATCATCTTTAGCCAAGTCATGGGACATTCCAGTCTCTGAGGCTCTCTGCCTCCCTCCTCAGTCTTTTGGCTCCCCAGTGCCAGCTGCAGTTTCCATGGCAACAGCCTCAGACGATCATGTTCAAGGAGAACAAGCCAGATTATCAACTTCCAGACAAGGTCCTCAGTGTTGGGAGAATTATCATAAACTCTAGAGGCTGCTGGCTGGACAGCAGTGGTTCAAGTACATTTTTCATGCAGGTTAAAATGGAAAGGTGGCCCTGGCTGGTGTGGCTCATGCAGTTTGAGTGCCAGCCTGCAGACCAAAGGTCGCGGGTTCAATTCCCAGCCAGGGCACATGCCTGGGCTGCAGGCTAAGTGCCTCTTGGGGGGCATGAGAGAGACAACCGCACACTGATGTTTCTCTCCCTTTCTTTCTCTCTCCTTTTCCCTCTTTCTAAAAATAAGTAAATAAAATATTTTTTAAAAAATGTAAAGGGAAAAAATGAAAAGAAATAACACTCCAAAACAAACAAAAAAAGAAGAGCAAAGAAAAAAAAATGAAATGCAAAGAGATGTCACATAATGACACAGGAAGGGAAGAATGACCGGACTGGCCCTGAAGACTGTTTGTTTTTAGGATCCACAGATCGAACTCAAGTGTCAGTGATATGCACATTACCTATTATCATTATTCACTCATTGAGTCAGTCAGCAAACACTGACTGGGTCCCATTGTGTGTCCTAGGGAAAGGAAGGGAATCAAAGCAGGCACCTTCTTGACTCCTGTAGGCATTTGGCAATCAGACGAAATATTTGTTCTTTATGCCCCCAAATTCATTTTTTCCTTCAACACATATTTGGGGGAGTGGACACAATTTGGTCCATAGCAGGTACCTTGAAAGGATTAGGAAAACTCAAACCCTGAATGTCACAGTAGTCCCCAACTTAGTGCCCGAAGGTCCACAGCAGAAGCAAAAGCAAATTCTACGGCATAAAACAGACAACTTCAGCCTGGGCCTCAAAGAATGTCCACAGGTGATATTTCTTTTCTTTTTTAAAAACCTGATTTGAAGCCCTGCTGGTGTAGCTCAGTGGATTGAGCACAGGCCTGCAAAGGAGAGGAATGTGGTTCAATTTCCAGTCAGGGCACATGCCTGGGTTGCAGGCCAATTCCCTGCAGGCCAGCGTTCCTAGCAGGGGATGCACAAGAGGCAACCGTACATTGATATTTCTCTCCCTCTCTCCTTCCCTTCCCCTCTAAAGATAAATAAATAAAATCTTTATTTAAAAAAAAAGCTGATTTGAGAGCAAGAGAGAGAAATTATTGTTCCATTTATTGATGCATTCATTGGCTGATTCTCCTATGTGCCCCAAACAGGGATCAAACCCACAACCTTGGCATATCGTGGGTTTGCTCTGCAATATGCTCTATTGTAGATAGATGCTCTAACCAGCTGACCACAGAGCCAGGGCCCACAGGTGATTTTTCAAAGGCAATGATCAGTGCGCAAAGAAGAAAGCAGCTACACGTGGAGGGCCAGGAAGCAGAAGATGACAGGAACCATAGAAAATGAATCCGTCAACTGAGTGAACGGGTGAACAATTCCTTTAAAAAGAGGTAGGGTCACCGTTACATCAGCTAATTGAAACAAGTTGCCAAAAACTGAACTTGGCTGGAATCTCCATGGTACAGAACCTGTTTTTAGAAGTCAACGTGCTAAGGAGAACAGAGGCTATACTTTTATTCCATTTGAAGACTTTTCCTCCTCCAAGAACATTGGTGGGAGAGACTCTGCCTTCAGTGAAACTAGATTTCACCACCTCCACACTGCCTCCCACCGGATCTGGCCCCTGGGCTGAATGCTGTGTGTACATTGCCCCCGGAGCCCTTCTGCAGAGGAAAAAAGGGCAGCCGCTTTCCTGGAGGACAAAGACCCTCATTTTAAGTCATTCATTTATTGCAAAGCAAACATACCACATTGGGCACAAAGATCCATATTTTAAATCATTTATTGCAAAGTAAACATACTATGTTGGGGACAAAGACCCTTAGTCGTAGTCACTCATTTATTGGAAAGCAAACACACGGTGTTGAGTTCAGAGGCTGGAAAATTCCAGCCTCAGGGTCTGTCTCTCTCCGTTCCTTTCCAGCCCCCTCTCCTCCCCCACCCTCCACTCCCCTCCTGCTCCCACTACCTTCAGGTTCCATGGCAACAGCCTAAGCCTGCTTCTGATGCAAAAAAAAAAAAAAAAAAAAAAAAGATTCAGAAAAGTCCTATTAAAGGCTCTTGAAAGAAAATAGAGCTACTGATGTCCAACCAACCAGGATGGGGGATGCGGAAGACTCCTAAAGCTACGGACCTATCAATAGTAGCTCGTGCACCTTAAAAATTTTTTTTAATTGTAGTAAAATATAGATATCATAAAATTGACCATTTTAACTCTTTTTATGTGCACAGTTCAGTAAGATTAAGTACATTAAGACTGTTGTACAACCATCACCACCTTCCATCTCCAGAACTTTGTTACCTTGATCATCTGAAACCCTGTCCCCTACTGGGGACCTGGCCTGCAACCCAGGCATGTGTCCTGACTGGGAATTGAACCAGCGATCCTTTGGGTTGCAGTCTGGCGCTCAATCCACTGAGCTACACACCAGCCAGGGCAGGTATAGAAATGTCGATGTGTGAAAGAAACATTGATCCGTTGCCTCTTATATGTGCTCTGACTGGGGACCAAACCCACAATCCAGGCCAGTGCCCTGAATGGGAATCGAACTATTGTCTTATGTTAAAATATTTTACTTATATGATAGAAAAAAAAACCCAGAATTTATTATAATTTCACTTTCTTGACTTTCATGGAGGCAAACTCATCAAAAATATTTTCAAAAATCTATTTCCAGCCCTGATTGATGTGGCTCAGTTGGATGAGCATTGTCTGGCAAACCAAATTGTGGGTTCTACTCCCAGTCAGGGCACATACCTGGGTTTCAGGACTTGTTCTCTCTTTGGGTGCATGCAAAAGCCAACTGATCAATGTTTCTCTCTTTCTCTCTCTCTCTCTCCTTTCTCCTCTCCCTAAAGATAAACAAAGAAAGAAAATAATTTATAATACCTATTTCTCAAAAGAAGTTAACCGTTAAAAATGGACAAGAGCATGGATAGAAGAGTATCCGTTTTACCTTTTGACTCAGGTGCTAATATGGCTCAGCACAGGACTGTAGACTCTTTGTCATTCTTCAAAAATAATCTTTTTAAGATTTTATTTATTTTCAGAGAAGGGGAAGGGAGGGAGAAAGAGAGGGAGAGAAACACTGATGAGTTGCCTCTTGCTGGCATTCTGACTGGACAGAACCTGCAACCCAGGAATCAAACTGGTGACCTTTTGTTTTGCAAAACAATGCCCAACCAACTGAGCCACACTGGTCTGGGCCAAAATTTTAATATCATGTTCATCTTGGGTTTTCTTTGCATTATTGCTTATTTCCAATGTTACATTAAAATATTATTTATCTCGATGACTGAGTGTTTTTGTGCTGGTATTTGTTGAGTTTGCTGTGTGGCCATCATTCCTTTGTACATTTCATCCTACCATCAGCTTTGAGACTCAGGTTCTTGTTTTTCCAAATGAGGAATGTGTGGCTCAGGGGTCAAGGGATTCCATCCCAGGGAGTTGAACTCTATGATTAGAATGTGAGCAGGCCACTCCTTCTCCTGTGCACCTCGGGGACTTCATTTGTCAAGTGGAAAGGTGGCCTCACCCACCTTGCAGATATGTCATGGGAATTCAGCAGAAAGCATTTAGCAGCATGCCTGGGATAGAATAAGCACAGTAAACATGAGTTATTTGATAATAATAGTAATTATAATGATGGTGACAATGGCGCATCAACCACCATGGGCCCCATCCAAAGGCAAGACTGCTGATTCTACAAATATGAGGACTCTTTATCTCACAACTAGCTCCGGTACACAAAGTATGTCCATGGTGGCCTCTGTCCTTGACTGTGAAGTCACCTCCGTTTCATGTGCATGGCCCAGCTGGGGCCCCAGGGGCCCCACAGCCCAGAGAAGTCTCTGAGTAAATGTTTGTCCTTCTGGGAGTTTACTTTGGTGGGACTATCTCTCGCTTCCCCCCCTGTGGCCTTGGGGCTGTAAGAAAACAGTGACCATGCCGGGGTCCATGCCCTGGTGATCTTAGGTCCTGGAGAAAGTTTGTCATGGACTGAACGTTCAGTTCCTATGGATGACACTGAAAACAGGAACCATTTTAATAGCTAACTTATTAGTCCTGAGGTTCTTACCAACTAAGAGGCCCTTCGTCCACCTGTCACCCACCTTCTCTTCCCGATCCATCCCAACTAGCTCCGGTCTCTTCAGACCTCTTCAGCCATCTGGGTCTTCTTGTCTTCTTCTTTTTAAAAAATTATTTTTTTTAATCTTAAAAAAATGATTTTTATTGAGGGGTAAGCTGGGTGGAAAAGGAGAGAGGGGGAAACCATTGGAACAACTGTAAAAGAATAACAGTACAAAATTTTTTAATATTTAAAAAATTGACTTTAAAGAGCGAGGAAGGAGAGAGAGAGAAACACTGATTTGTTGTCTGACTTATTGATGCATTCATTGGTTGATTCCTGCATGTGCCCTGACTCGGGATCAAATCTGCAACCTTGGTGTATTGGGATGATGCTCCAACCAGTTGTGCTACCCAGCAAGAGCTCCATGTGTTTCTTTGAATGCACTCTATGTGTTTCTATTCCAGTCTTTGCATATGCTGTGCCCTCTCCCTGGAATGTTCTTTTCCCATAACTTCATTCATCTTTCTCCTCAGTTATCACAACCTAAAAAGGTGTTCTCTGACCATGCCATCCCTTTCACCCCAGTCTCTTTCTGTCCTGCACCCTCTTTATTCTTTATCTCTCACACAAATCATATTTTGTTTATGATCTGCCCTCTCCCCTAGAATCTAAGCACCACGAGAATTTTCAGGGCAGGCTCTGACAGATCATTGCATCCTAGGGTTTCTCATTCTGGACACTTCTGAGTAATACCTTGTTGTGTGTGGGGGGGTCACCCTCCTGCATGTTACAGGAGATTTAGCAGCATCCTAAGCCACTACACACTAGATGAGACAACAAAAAAAAATTCCAAACTCCTCCTTGGGGAACTGCCCCCCTGTTGAAAACCAGCACTATATCCTCATATTCTAGCACAGGCTCTGTCATGAACAGTAGTTCATGAATGAATAAATTGACTGACTGAATGAATGAGTGAATTATTACAGTAAATAACCCTTGCATCCCTGTGCTTGTGGGAGACATGCCCGGTCTAACAGAGCAGGGCTGATTGAGTGACTTTCTACTAACACCCAAGGGAGCAATTCACTTGCAGGAAAGAACACATCCACTGGGCCTGAGCCCTCCCCATGCCCATTAATTTTGTTTTCTCACCTGGTGTGTAGGACAATGGTGGCTCAGCCTGTTGCCATGGAAACTGCAGTTAGCAGGAGAAGGGAAGAGTCTGCAGAAATGAGAGAGAGAGAAAGAAAGGGAGGGTGGAAGGAGAGAGGGAGAGAGAGGCTCAGGGCTCTAGGGGTAAATGTATGTGAGTTCAATAATATCCTACAGCATACATGCCACCCAATACAAGTTTGTGGAAAGAAGAGAATCTGGTTACTCAGGCCAGATTGCTCAGTTGGTTAGAGTGTCGTCCTGACAAACCAAGGGTGCAGTTTCAATCCACAGGCAGGGCACATACAGGAGTTAATCAACAAATGCATGAATGAGTGGAACAACCAATCAATGTTTCTCTCTCTCTCTTTCTCTTCCTCTCTCCCTCCTTCCTCTCTTCTCTCTCTCTCAAAATCAATTTTAAAAAATAACAGAATTTGTTCGCCGAACACACCCTACCCACAATGCATAAGGATTCCAATTTTTCTACATTCTCCCCAATACTTGTTAATTTCTGTTTTGGGGTATTTTTCTTTTTCTTTTCTTTTGATAGTAACTATCATACCAGATGTGAGGTGGCATCTCCTGGTCTCTCTATGGTCAGGCTTATGTATCTTTTCTGTTAGGCTCATGTGCTTTTGTGACCTGTTAACTAGACCTTCCTGTCCATAACGATAAGAATGTCCACACACAGAATCTCCCTGACCTCAGCAAAAAAAAAAGCTGATGTGAGCCCTGTGCCAAGAAAAACTGTTCTGTCCCTAGGGTCCTGGCCCCAGTGCTTGCAGAGGACTCTGAGCCAGAATGCAACAGAAAGGACGAAAAGACGATTCATGGGGAGACAATTTTCTCCCAAATCTCTGGCCCTTTGGCCAAACTCTAAGAATGGCAACATTCAGCCCAAGTGCCCGATAAATCAACCCGCCTTGGAATTTCTCCTGATTAATGAGCTAAATCTCAGACTGGTGTCCAAGCTCCACATATATTGCTTCTAACTTTGGAAGGGAATGGCTTTCTGGGAAACAGAAAACAGTAAAACAGTAAAATGAAGCCCACATGCTGGACACATTCATTCCCAAACCATGGACATACTGGAGACCTGTTGTTTGTCTTGTAGGTAACACCCTTGGAGCCAGTAGCAAAAAAGTTTCTCTTGACTTTTCTGGGGTTAACATCTTGACTCTAACATTCTAACAATGGAGTGACTTTTATTGGGGTCACGTGGGCATCAAGCACAAAAAGACCACTTCTGAATTCTATACTACCTTGAATTAAAGTTAAAAATCAATAAGAGTGAGGTAATGAGACATAGATTATAATACGGGAGAAAAGTCTTTATGATTTCGTAACCCTACTTTCTGTGTGTGTATTATAAATTTACCCACACAAACATATTGAAAAAGAATTCTTTCTTTCTTTCTTTCTTTCTTTCTTTCTTTCTTTCTTTCTTTCTTTCTTTCTTTCTTTCTTTCTTTCTTTCTTTCTTTCTTTCTTTCTTTCTTTCTTTCTTTCTTTCTCTTCTTCCTCCCTTCTCTCCCTTCCTTCCTTCCTTCCTTCCTTCCTTCCTTCCTTCCTTCCTTCCTCCCTCCCTCCCTCCCTCCCTCTCTTCCTTCCTTCCTTCCTTCCTTCCTTCCTTCCTTCCTTCCTTCCTTCCTTCCTTCCTTCCTCTCTCCTCCACTTTCATTCTCTCTATGTATAAGGACCCCCCTTTCTTTTCTCCTGCTATAATTTTTTGGAACTTAAAAAAAATTTAAATTTATTTTTAGACAGAGGGGAATGGGGGAAAAAGAGAGGGAGAAAAACATCAATGTGTGGATACCCCTACTGGGGATCTGGCCCGCAACCCAGGAATGTGCTCTGACTGAGAATTGAACCAGCAACCCTTTGGTTTGCCGGCTGGTGCTCAATCCGCTAAACCACACCAGCCAGAGCTGATGTGTATATATATATTTTAAATTTATTTTTCAATTGCAGTTGACATTCAATATTTTATCAGTTTCAGGTGTACAACATAGTGGCTAATCAGTTATATAGTTTACAAAGTGTTCACCCTGTTAAGTCTAGTATCCACCTGACACCATCCATAGTTACCACAATATTATTGCCAATATTCCCTATGCTCTATTTTACACCCCCATGACTATTGTGTAACTACCAATCTGTACTTCTCAATCCCTTCCCCTTTTTCACTCAGGACCCCCCTCCCATTTGGCAACTATCAGTTTGTTCTCTGTGTTTATGAGTCTCTCTTTTGTTTGTTCACTTAATTTTAAAACCCAGTGCTTTCCAACTCTGACCTTCCTCCATGGCTGTCTCACCAGGTTCCTTCTGTTAGCTCACGCAGTCATGGGCTGCTGGACACCCCTTCAATATCCCAACAAGCCTCCACCTCCAGGCTTTTGCTTGTTCAACAGTTTGATGTCTGTTGCATCCACATCTTTAATCTGTCACATGGAACATGATGAGCCCCTCACCCCTATTTGTCCAATGATTACACACATGTGTCAAATGCACTGATGTTTCAGACATTAGGGTCTGAAGGCAGAAAATACTGGAGTTTGTTTCTCACCATTTCATCCCTGGCTTCAGTGCGTCTTGATCAATATGTTGAGCAAATTAATGGGTATTGAAAAGCTTAGGCCAATATTCACAGTTCTTGTGGAGGTTTGAGAGCTCTTAGAAGGCCTGCAGAGGCAGTCCCATGTTTGTGTGCAGATAAGCCAGGAGGAACAACTGGGGAGGGAGACAGACCACACAACCCAGGGTTCCAGCATGGGGAAATAAAGCCTCAAAACCTCAGACTGAAAAAATCTGTGAGGGTTGAGGCAGCAGGAGAAACTCCCAGCCTCACAGGAGAGTTTCTTTGAGAGACCCACAGGGTCCTAGAACATACATAAATCTACCCACTTGGAAATCAGCACCACGAGGGCCCAATTTGCTTGTGGGTAACAGTGGGAGTGACTGAAAGCTGGCAGAGAGCAGAATAAGTGTCACTGTTCCCTCTCTGACCCCCACATATAGCACCATAGTGTAACAACGTGGATTGCCCTGCCCTGGTGAATGCTTAAGGCTTTGCCCCTTACTATGTAACCGATGTGCCAGACAAAAAAATGGCCCAAATGAAAGAAAAGATCAAAGCTCCAGAAAAAATACAACTAAGCAATGAAGAGATAGCCAACCTATCAGATGTACAATTCAAAATACTGGTAATCAGGATGCTCACAGAATTGGTTAAATATGGTCTCAAAATAGAGGAAAAAATGAAGGCTATGAAAAGTCAAATAAAGGAAAATCTACAGGGAACCAACAGTGAAAGGAAGGAAACTGGGACTCAGATCAATGGTTTGGACCAGAATGAAGAAATAAACAACCAGAGCAGAATGAAGAAACAAGAATTCAAAAAAATGAGAAGAGGCTTAGGAACCTCCAGGACACCTTTAAATATTCCAATATCCAAATCATAGGGGTGCCAGAAGGAGAAAAGGAAGACCAAGAAATTGACAATTTATTTGGAAAAATAACAAAGGAGAACTTCCACAGTCTGGCAAAGGAAATAGACTTCCAGGAAGCCCAGGAAGCTCAGAGAGTCCTGAAGAAGTTGAACTCAAACAGAAACACACCAAGGCTCATCATAATTACATTGCCCAAGATTAAAGGTAAAGAGAGAATCTTAAAAGCAGCAAGAGAAAAGTAGAGAGTTATCTACAAAGGAGTTCCCGTAAGACTATCAGCTGATTTCTCAAAAGAGACCCTGCAGAAAAGAAGGAAGTGTAAAGAAGGGGCTGGAAAGAAGTATTCCATGAAAAGCAAGGACCTTCATTCAAGATTACCCCGTCCAGCAAAACTCATTTAGAAAGGTAGTTAAAGTGCCTCCCAGATAAGGTTAAGTTAAAGGAGTTCATCATCACTAACCCCTTATTATATGAAATGTTAAAGGGACTTATCTAAGAAAAAGAAGATAAAAACTACAAAGGGTAAAATGACAACAAACTCACAACTATTAACAATCAAACCTAAAAAAAACCACAAAAACAAACTAAGCAAACAACTAGAACAGGAACAGAATCACAGAAATGGAGATCACATGGAGGGTTATCAGTGGGGGAAAGGAAGGGGGAGAGAGGGGAAAAAGGTAGGAGAGGAAAGCAGGTGGGATTCAGTGTGCAGGGTAGAGGGGAATAAAATGGGGGGATGGGACAACTGTAATAGCATAATTAATAAAATATATGGGGAAAAAAAGGAAGGCCTGCAGAGACCCAAAGAGCCAGTTTTGTTTTCTGCAGGGACCCCCATGATGTAATGACGCAGGAAATATGAGCCTGACCCAGGGACCAGGGGCTGCAGGTAGGACTGCTCCCCAGCCCTCTCCTCACCCCCACCCACCCCCACCCAGGTTTGGGCTCTGTGGAGGGGGGCACTCACTCAGCTCACTGCTCAGGAGCCATCACCTGATGTGGGAGGCAGAGGCGGGCTCAGGCCATTGTCATGGAAACCATGGCCTGATGTGGAAGGAGAGGGGAGGGGGCCAGAGAGCAAAGGTCTGAAGAGACTGGAAATTTCCAGTCTTTAAATTAGACTGTGCTGGGGTCAAAGTACCTGGTTAGCACAAAGCAGGTACTTCTGGAGAGTCTGTTGAGAGAAGGAATGTCTGTGCCCCCGTCCCCAAGTCTATCTGGACTCAGAGAATGTCCCCCTCACTGTTGTGTGTTCCAGGGAGACCCTCACACCTGTGGCCCATCTTAGTAGATGAATTCTGTTTCGAACCAAAATCATGCCAGCTGAAGACAGTGGACAGAAAGGAGGGAAATAACTTCAGAGAACTGCAGCTCTAACCCAGTGGGTTGGAGTGTTGACTCCATACACAAAGGCAGCAGGTTTAATCCCAGGTCAGGGCACATACAAGAATAAACCAATGAATGCATGAATAAGTGGAACAACAAATTGCTGTCTCTCTCTGCTTTAAACTGTTCAGCATATTCCATTGTAGGAGCAGGGCTTAATTAATTTGCTCCTTCTCTTGTTGGTAGGTATTTGAACTGTTCCTTCTCCTTCTCCTCCTCCTCCTCCTTTTTTGTCATTATGAGCAATATCAATATCCCTAGTGCCCAGAGCATGCCCAGGACAATGTCCCAATGAGCATTCTTGAACTTGTTGCCTTGCCACATGTATGAAGATTTCTTCTAAGACACACATCTCAAGCTGGCTTTTCTGAGTGGCAGGGCAATTGATACCCATCACCAGCTTTCCTAGATATTGTCAAGTTGCTTTTCAAAACAATCTTAGATGCATATCCTATCTGTTCATCCAGAAATGGACGTGCTCTATGGGAACAGACGCACTCTCTGTTTTTCATCTCAGCCGTGTCCTCTACTCCTGAAGGAGTGTCTGTTTCTTAGCAGGAATTCAACAGATGTTTCTAGAAGATGAATACATGGATAAGGAAATGGGTTGTATTTGTGCAAATCTGGCTAATGATGGATATACGGTTTCTAATCCAGTTCCTGTTTATTTAATGTGAAATGGTGAGATTAGTCTTCAGAACACAGTTTCTTTATCAAGCAAAGAATTTCTGTGTTTGTTTTGTAAAATCCTGCAGTACCATGGCCCCGCACATTTCCAGGGGCACACATTCTGTACATTTTTCTGTTGCCCACTCCCCAGAAAGACCGCTTTGATCCTTATGTACTTTTGCAAACGTCTGAGGAGGGCAGAGTCCCACAAGTGGATTTGCTGGGTCAAAGGGCAGCCGTGTACTAAACTTTAATGTCTATTGCGAAAAGAACTTGCTGGAAAGATTATAGCCACTTCTAGTCTCACCCATTCCCCTGTAAAGGCATCTATTTTCTACACAACTGCTTGTCTATTTTCATCCTTGTCTATCTGATAAGGGGAAAAATGACTTGCCAGTTTGGTTTTTATATCTTTTTTTGATTCTTTAACTTTTTTTAATCCTCATCTGAGGACATGCTTATTGATTTTAGAGAGGGGAAGGGAGGAAGACAGAGAGGGAGAAAAACATTGATGTGAGAAAGAAACATTAATCCGTTGCCGAACCCAAAACCTTCCAGTTTACGGGACAATGCTCCAATCAACTGAACCACCCAGCCTGGGCCCTTTCTTTGTTTTTTAGTACCAAGAAGTTGGGACATTTTTTGTACTTTTTTTCCACATTTCCCTTTTGTCTTTCGGCAAATGTATGTATTTTGAAGTTCACATCACCCCTCATCACCATGTTCTTAATTCTTTTCTTATAAACCCAATGGGCATATAAAAGATATTCTGAGATTTTCATTGGGTTACAAGCAGTTTTACCCATTTTGTCACTTTGGTTTACTTTCCTTTTCCCTTTTCTACCTACTTTTTTTAGCACTTACGTAGTCAGATTAATTCATCCTTTTCTTTTCATGGTTGTAAGCTCTAGAGTTGTGTTTACAGAGCCATTCTTCATCCCAATGAAAAAAAATACCCACCCAAACCCCGATTGGTGTGTTTCAGTGTGTTGGGCATTATTTGGCAAAATGAAAGGTCATCGGTTTGATTCCCAGTAGGGCACATGCCTGTGTTACGGGTTCAGTCCCCACTCAGGGCATGTACAAGAAGCAAGCTATCAATGTTTCTCTTCCTCTCTTTCTCCTTCCTTTCTCTTCTCTCTAAAAATAAATTTTAAAAATACCCACCCAAGCATTTGGGTGGTGAACAGCAAATCAACAACCATAGCTCTCTCTATGCCTAATGCTACTCTGCTTCCTCCTACTCAGTTACCGTATATTTTGGGCTATAAGATGTACCTTTCCCCCCAAATTTGGGAGGAAAATGAGGGTGCGTCTTATAGTCTGAATGTAGCGTACCTGGCTTGCTGGTGGGAGGTGGCGGTGGAGGCAGGTCACAGCTTATTAAATATTTTACCACAATTTTTCTTCAAGATTTTTTTTCTATTTTCCTCCTCTAAAACCTAGTTGCGTCTTATGGTCGGGTGCGTCTTATAGTTCGGTGTGTCTTATAGTCCTAAAAATACAGTAGATTCTAGGGCTTTTAAAAAATATATATATTTTATTGATTATGTCTTTACAGTTCTATTTCCCCCCTTCATTCCCCTCCACCCTGCAAACCCCTCCCCACCATTTCCCCCCTTTAGTTTATGACCACGTGTCTCAAGTTCTTTAGATTCTATATTTCTGATACAATTCTTGCCCTCCCCCTATCTATTTTCTACCTACCATCTATGCTACTTATTCTCTGTACCTTCTCCCCCCTTCTCCTTCTCCCACTCCTCTGTTGCTAACCCTCCACGTGGTCTTCATTTCTATGGTTCTGCTCCTGATCTAGCTATTCTCTTAGTTTGCTTTTGTTTTAGGTGTGGTTCTTAATAACTGTGAGTTTGCTGTCCTTTCACTGTTCGTCTTTTTTATCTTCTTTTTCTTAGGTAAGTCCCCTTAACATTTCATATAATAAGGGCTTGGTGATGATGAACTCCTTGAATTTGATCTTATCTGAGAAGCACTTTATCTGTCCTTCCATTCTAAATGAAAGCTTTGCTGGATAGATCAATCTTGGTTGTAGGTCTTTGGATTTCATGACTTGGAATACTTCTTTCCAGCTCCTTCTTGCCTGTAAGATCTCTTTTGAGAAATCCGCTGACAGTCTTCTGGGAACTCCTTTGTAGGTGACTGTCCCCTTATCTCTTGCTGCTTCTAGGATTCTCTCTTTCATTTTAATCTTGGCCAATATAATGATGATGTGCCTTGGTGCGTTCCTCCTTGGGTCCAACTTCTTTGGGACTCTCTGAGCTTCCTGGATTTCCTGGAAGTCTATTTTTTTGCCAGAGTGAGGAAATTCTCCTTTATTATTTGTTCAAATAAGTTTTGTACTTGTGGCTGTTCCTCTTCCCCTTCTGGTACCCCTATAATTCGGATGTTGGAATGTTTAAAGATGTCCTGGAGGTTCCTGAGCCTCTCCTCATTTTTTTGAATTCTTGTTTCTTCATTCTTTTCTGTTTGGTCATTTTTTTTCCTCTTCCTGGTTCACTCCTTTGATTTGAGTCCCAGTTTCCTTTCCATTACTATTGGTTTCCTATGCATTTCCATTCATTTCAATTAGTTTAGCCTTCATATGTTCCTCTAATTTGTGACTAAAATCAACCAGTTCTGTGAGGATCCTGATCACCAGTGTTTTGAACTGTGCACCTGAAAGTTTGGCTATTTCTTCATCACTTAGATTTATTGGCTCTGGGGCTCTGAGTTCTTCTTGAGCCATGTTTTGATCTGTTCGTGACTGTTACGGACGAGGAGGTGTTCACCAGGGCGGGGCCACTCAGGTCGAGGTTTTGTGACGCTGTATGTGGGGGCAGGGTCAGAGAGGGACAATGGTGGTCCCTCTGCCACTTTCTGCCACTGGGGCCTGCACGGTCTGTCTCACCGCTTCACCCCTTCACCAGTTTATCTGTGCTCGACTGTGTGACTTTGGTCAGCCCTCAGTGAGTCCACCCCCCTGCACCCTCAGTGGGTCCGCCTGCTACTCCACACCTGGGATCCACCTACAGCTGCCAGCGTGCCTGGGTTGTGCACCCCAGTCGGTCTGGTGGATCTTTCCTGCGTGACCCCGCTCTGCTGCTGGCTCTGTCCCTCTTACTGGTTTGGCTGAAGGGTTCGTTGTTGTCATACTTCCGTGTAGTTCAATTTTCTGTGGTTTGGCTGTGTTTTGGTTGCTAAAACTTTGTCGTTTGTAAACTTGGTTGTGTGAGAAGGCACAGTGCTTCCACCTACGCCTCCATCTTGGTGGAAGTCCAGATTCTAGGGCTTTTAACGTTCAGCCAACTGCCCCTCCATCCAAGAAAGGAAACTCAGGGCTATAACATCATGTTAAATGAATAAACACACCAAAATCCCAATTTTAAGATGAACAAAATTCATTCATTAGTTAATTTATTCACATTCTAAAAATGTTTGAAGATCCTACTATGTGCCATGCATTTTGCTAGCCAGGGAGGATACGAGGAGTTTAACTTTCCTCCCTTCCTCTCTTCCTTCTTTCCTTTTTTCCTCCCTTCCTTCCATCTTTCTGATGTATCCCCTATGCCCACCCGGCAGGACCCTAATCATGCATTGTTCCTTCCATAAACTTTCGCTGAACGAATCTAAAAACATCTTGTTTAAAGGAATAAATATCTCGCTCATCTCAATGCTGAGAGCAAAGAATGTGCCTTTTCCATTTTTTTTCATTTTTTCCTTGTGTCACTAGCTCCCGGTAGGCAATCTGTATTTGTTGAATAAATGAATAAATAAATAAATGAACAAGTAGAAGAAACCACAATGCTGATGCTGAAAAGGTGTGTGTGTGTATGTGTGTGTTTATTACTGGGCAGGGAGGCCCTTGCACCCAATTTTGTGACCTTTTGCAAAGTTCCCACTTAAGGATGTGTTTTGAGGTTGCACAAAGGCTGGAAAACCAAGCTTTCCCTGCCCCCGCTGCCCTTTTCCTTCAAGAGCAATTACCTGTTCCAAAGAAG